CACTGTGATTGATGCCATAAAACCAAACGGTATTCGAGAAGTATTTATTCGGTGATTGTTTCTTACGAAATGTCATCGATTTCTTTTCGAAAAATGATAACGCCAGGAGAAGGAGTCGTGAATGAATTAATTTATAGGTGCCGTAAATTTGAATATGATAACGTAAAAAATAATATTTCGAGAAATAATTTCGAACGAATATTTGGTAAACTTAATTCGTTATTATTCCTTTCGTCTTGTGTAATTTTTCGCGTTACGTAAATTTCGTCGATTTTACGAACGCACAGACACGCGGGCGCGCGGAATTCAAATTCCTAAACACGTGACGTAATGGTTTCTTTTAATGTAGTTATTAAAAAGTTGAAAGCATAACGAGAATCAAATATAATCGATTTGTGGAGTATTTTCTGCGTAATTGTTAACTCTTTCGTTATGTCGGAGTTATGTTGAAAAGTGAAACACAAATGATACCTTATCGCACGAACGAAACTACAAATCACACTTACGTTACGTATTTCAAATTATTGTATAGACTTTAATAAATAGTAAAAGTCTAAATTTCACTTGCAGTTTCTTTTATGCATAGAAATATTAGTATTCAACTGAATGAAAAGTTTTGCAAACAGAATAAAAAAGAGACTCGTTAAATTTTAATAAACTCAGAAGGTTTTTAATAATCTTGGAAGCAATGGTATATTTTTAAAATGAAAGTCGGTAAATTGACGAAAACGATTAAACGTTAGTAATACGTAATTTAGTTACACATTTGATTACCAGCAACCTCCCTCCAGCTAGTGACCCTTACACGCGATTTTCTCGTACGGCAAATGGTGTTCATGGAAAGTAAGATCGCGTGTTCGTAACAGCCCAATATGTAACGCGTATCAACTTTATTTTAACCGGAATTCGTTGTGGAACGGAAAAAAAATGTCCACATTGCGGAGAACATGTGTGGCGGCGCGTGACGTAAAAAGTCAAACTAAAGCGGAAGAGATATCGGAATGTGCCACACGGGAGGACGAGGAGGAAGCGACTCTTGATCTTTCGAGGGAGAAAAAGAAATGATAGGTACATAGGGAGATGCAAGGATTAAGGTAAGAAGAGCTTGTGGAGGTGGAGAACAAGAGGAGGTGGAGGAGGGGAGAAAAATAAGAGGCTCTTTCCGCGAGGCGAGCGAACCGGCTCGTACTCGATAGCATCTACGAAGCCTCCGACAATAATAGTGTGGACCGAGAAATATGCGCGCGGAGCCCAAGCCCCGTGAATCCTTCGGTGGTTTTGGGGTGGTGAGGTGGTACGGAGGCAAAGTCAACCTGGTGGGGCAAAATTCTCCGCTGCGTAGCGATGGAATCGATCCGATACTTGTGCAATTCCCGAGCAATTCGTCCTTACCCCTTTCCGAATTCTTATAATTATCGAAGTAATTATATCTTTAAAAAAAAAAAAAAAAGGCACTTTTTCACACGCCTACATATACACACACATTGTTTTCAACGATATACACAAACCTACGTACTACATATTCCTGAAAATTTGGGACTAGACCCAATTGGGCCCAGTATCACAGATTTTCTCTATACTCGTTTCACAAAGAATTCGTCAGTTTTATGGAGAAACTTAAGTCTCGTAGAGATGACAAAGTACGAAAATTCCAACGTTCGAAGACGCTTCGTGTTGTGTTATTTTTCGAGATGTACCGATTTGAAAAATCGATAAGGTGTGTGCGTGTGTGCAAGAGAAGAGAAATTGGTCCCATCGCTACTGCTACAGAACGGGCCTCCTGACGTAGAGGGGACATATACCAAGGTCCATCGGGCCTGTTCTTAGATGATCAGAGACATGGCTGATGGGCCAGTAGTGGCCCCAGAAATTCCAACAAGGACGACGCATAATGCGCGACTCAAGGTCGGTTCTACTACCGACCAGAAAGTCCGA